CATGTTATTTAATTTTGCAAAGTAGAGGCTATACTCTGTTATTCAACACCAAGAATGACATGTTCCTAGGTAAACTTGCTGAGGCACGTGCTCAAGGCAGTCTAGATGCGTACTGACTCATGAACTACGTGGGTTCTGTTCGTTATACAGCGTAAGCTCTCCTAACGCCACCCCAGCAAGGTACCCAAGATTTTCTACATCAGTCCCTGTCTCGCAGAGATTATGCCTCACTGTAGTTCGGCCGTTTGCGTACCTTCATACCCTAACGAGATATTCGAAGGAAGGCACCTGTAATACACAAAGTCTCGAGCACAAGTTTCGTGAATGGGTAAATGTCCAAACGAAATAGACCTCGGGATAATCCAAGTTGACGGATGGAAAATGTGCGACGACTTCCTTCTACAACGACTGCGCCAACTGTCTCACATCAGCCCTGGTGAGGTTAAGCCTCCCAGCGAGTGATTTTGCTTAAGCCCACGGACTTAAAAAGAACTAATTTAACCTCAGCCATCGCATGATACCATCAACCAGTGTGTCTAAGTTGCTGCATACAGAAAAGCACATATGAAAAAGACCTCGTGGGGAAGGCCGGGGCACCGCCACACTCCGTAGGATCTCCTCGACATCCATTGCCGTTAATTACAAGCTTTACGTTTGGCGCGGCAGGATACGATTCAGTCTTTTTTTCCAATTTCAGTACTAAGCTCAGGCGCAGATTTTAACTTTCGCAATTGGAAGCAATCCGGACAAAAAGCTGCTCGTAATTGCAGGCTGGACACGGTGTTTTTATTCGAATAAGAGATTCAAAAAACAACTAAGCCTGTGTGGCTTTGGTTTGGTTTCTCATTTCTCCTAGTATTTTCGTTTTGCTCAGGCGCCCAAATTAAGGGTCACTTTTGTGGTGTTTTTGCGTTGATAGTCGCCTCTGTGTAGTTCATCTGAAAACGTACGTAAAAATGCCCCATAGTGCAGCAGCATTTGATGTTTTTATTTGTGCCCGCTTGCACACCAACAGAATGCGGCTCATATACTTTCAAAGACATTTAAAACGCTTTAAGTCACTTGCTATGGCTGGATAGCAACTCAGATAATGTTAAGGTTTCCGGCAATTCCGAAGCAAAGTTAGGTTAATGGAGAGCTTCTGGCGTTCAATTAGGTGGTCGTCTTGTACACTGACAAGCGCGAACGAATGCTGCAGTTACAGCCTAATCGTCAATACTACTTAACGAAATTATCGAAGGTCCTTTGTTAAATATTAGCCTGGACGACCCAAACTCCAACAAAAGCTGTCACATTGTCATCAATTATACGTGACATGCGTCGGTTACTGATTGTCGCTTGGTCTGGACTGCCTATGTTGATACATATTACACGCGTTCTCTGCTATATTCCCTTCCGCTTTTCGAAGGCAAGGTGAATGTGAACGCTTTACTTTGAGCCGTTTTAAGATATAAAAACAAGACAGTCACCTGTTGATGCCTTTTCGGTGAATAAAACTCCTAATGTTAGCTCTCACTGAACGGTAATGGCCGGGCTCTGCAGGACATTGGTTTCTAGGACAGTAAAAAAGGATTGTCAGTTGACTCCAAGCAGCTGTTGAATGTTATTTCCAAACCTCACGAAGTTTGGACACCTCTCTCTTCGAGTTGTGAGTAAAGTTCCTCCATATCAGCTGTCAGCCTTTGTGTTGGAAATAGCATCGACGCTCATCAAGAAGCTTAGTAGGTTGATAACTTCTAAGAAGGTGGAATAGAAGAGAAATGCTTGGAACGTGCATAAGTTACTTCAGCTGATACCGTCAATAGGGCCAAATGGGGTACCGGTGAACGAATCAATCATCGATAAAAACGACCAGCTTGGCGACCAGCAGGCTTGCTACAGTCGCTCAACCAGATACTCAACAACCAGCATCCACGGCGGCTTCAAAAATAAAGAGTTAACTACTTGCTCTATTTATAGTTTGAGGTGCGATCAACTGATGATATCCCTTGCATATATTAGGCTTTAGTTTGATGGATATTTCACAATGTAGGTGATGTCAAGCTATGCTGAATGGCCGGGAGGTACTGCATTTGGTTTCTGGTGTAGACTGTCCCTATAGTAGATTTTCCAAAAAAAACGACCGTCCAAGAACAAGAGTTTTGGCCACACTGGTGCCCATTTTAACGTAGGATGCTTGGAATCAGTTTGATAGTCAAAGTCTGCCTGGTCCACTTTGTAACTAGATATATTTATATATTGAAATGATGAAACTTTCATTCCATAATTTAGTTGAAAACTGCCAAACTTCAGCAGAGAAACCAAGCCTACGAATGTGTCCAAAGAAAATTAAAACAGGCAGGAGGCTCGTGAGCATTTGCAAGTGTGTTGCACAGATAAAATAAGTAACTCCTAAATGTTTGATAAACCCGGAATAATAAAAAAGGAAAACTAATCTATGTGAGCAAGCTCACGACATTACGAGGACAAAAACCTGCCGTGGGTCTTATCTTACTTTAGATTCATTTGGAGACAGCATCGCGTGTCAGGTTGTTTTCGAACAAGACATGAATGTTGCCGTTTAACTATCACTCCCATCGTAAGTATATCTTAAGTAAAGTGGTTTTGTACTAATAAATACTGATAAGATGGGAATTGTATCGATGGATAGGGAATCATTCAGTTTAATGAAAGTATTACTCAGTCATCCAACTGGTATTTTTATAACCACATGATTTCAACACAATATACTGTGATTGTGACCAAGAACCGTAGCAGCCTGGTTGACGATGCAAACAGGAACATAAAACACCAAAAACCATTTGTATTGTGTCGTGTGTTGTTTACTTTCCATACTGATATAAATAGGCTCATAAAAATGAGTGTTCCCAGTGAAACTGGGGAATACAAAATTGTATCCCATATAACACAACATAATATGTTTAAAATTATTCTGCGCAAATACAACTAATAGAACTGTTTGCTCCAAACTTTTCACAAAATGACACTCATAACAGTCGCTAGGTATGTAAAACGTCCGGTGGATAGTGTGCTGTTACATACTTTGCACCTCATTTGGCGAACGCTGTTAGATGCTCGAATTTTCCCATGCAATTGACCGACCGATAAGATGATAGGCCAGAGGTCACTTCTTTAACAGTAAAGCGGCCAAAGACATTATCGGTCACGCAAGTGCATAACATATTTGGACCAACAAATAACTGCTTAAACTGTTTATTGGCATTCGTGGTTTATGGAAAATTGCCACAAGTGAAACGATTCCATAGACCCTTGGATCCATTTCAAACCGAAACCCTAAAACCTGGTAGAATTTCGCGATAGGAGTATCTCTTATTTGTAGTCATCATAGAGTGCTTTTTAGATTTACAATGACGACTGTAAAATTGTATTTGAACTTTAAGGATTGCTTACTGCCTTGAGAGTCAGCGTTTAAATGGCAAATATTTTGACGCAAACATTGAAAGACCAGTTTATTTTTATTTTCGACTGACTGATTTGTTTAATTATTTTATATAAGACGCAATAGATAAGGATTTATGATTTTATTCACTTTGGACGTAAATAATCATTGATTAAAACAGTATAAAAATGTTAAACCATTTACGGTTAGCTCTAAAATATCTGTGTAAATGGGTATCTCAACTTCTTCGGCCCCTAGGTTTACTCAGTATCCAGTGTCGTAACCTGTGTTATCAAATGTTGTTTAAAAAAAATACTAAGGCAATATTCTAACTCCTGAGTCCTGCTGACCACTCAAAAGGGCACTATTCGGTTTCACTTCCTCTAGGTTTCGAAACTGTCAAAATTAACACTCGTGTAACCAAGAAAATCAAACTGAGAATTGTGAATATGTGTCACACTTACCATATTTGTGCATTTCACTTAAGCTCCACAATTCAAGTGATGAATATCATGTTTGTATTTCAGAAAAACAAAAAAGCTCCCCTCGCCTTGCATTTCAAATATACTGCAGTGATAGAGGACTGAGTTAATTTACTCAGCTAAAGTTTTCTGATCATTTTATACATACTTTTGTCCTTCAAATTAGGTGCAGGAAGTTATAGTAACGCTTGCTTTGGGAACACTATTTGAGGTATTTTCCATATGTTTGGTGTTCTTTAACAATTTGTTGCTCGGTTATCGCGATCAGCTGTTTTCCTAATAAACCTATTCATATTTACAACAATAAAAGTCGGCTTGGTTTTACGGTTGCTTGTTGAAAACATTCGTTTTAAAAATACGTTCTTATCATTTGTCCCAAATCTTCGAGTCATGGGCGAACCCTTTTAAAATCCAAAGCTTTTAGTAAGGTCCAAAACCACCTGTAATTCATATAGGGTGCGGACCCGCAGAACTCTCAATTAGCCGGCGGACGGATAACCCGGATAATTTACATTTTATTTAAGTCCCCTGCCACTTATTTCCGTTGCCCGTATTCACAGTGTTTTTCCCTGAAACGAATGAGAATGTGACGTTAGGTACAAAACAAGCTGAAATCAGCAGAGGGAATTTTATCGCATTTGGGCATTTTGACCTAATATGATCCTCGCATCTAATTAACGTGCCCTATGAGTAGGAGATTTACAAAATTCCACATTTAGGGAAAATAATAATACGAAAAATTTCCGGTTTTGTCCAAATCAGTGGAAAACACCATGCCATTTATTCATGGTTTATGTTGTGATTCTTGTATTTCCGAACACCGGACGAGGATAAATAAAAGCCGAGGATTAATAACAGGATATATATTGTAAACTCGTCCGTAAAAGCACTGATGAGTCCTGTAGTGTATTGCTTCAAAATCTAATCTGTGACCTAAATTTTTTTCTTTTTTTGCGCTGATATTTCCTTTGCAATCGGCCGTCAGACACCAAGTCCCATCCGCATTTTAAGGTGTTAAGAGTAAAAACAAATATTAATCAATATTACTTTTTGGAGAAAAAAATGCGACTCTCAGTTGCTGACGATAACAAAAGTGAATGAAATGTATACGCTTTCAACGGACCTTCATCTACGTGGAAAAAACGTGAGGATTGAATCAAGGTTAGAAGAAACAAGATAAACAATAGATTAGTTTAGCTAAAAAATAGCCATTTGTGTAAACAGCTTTCCGAGATTCATTTAAAACAACAACGAGTTGTACAAATCTGATCCTCAGTTGGATAAAATACAACTTGATCAACGGAGGAAATATTAATTCTGATTTGCACCCATGGATTCGTGAGGTTTATTCGCTTTTCTGTCCCCTGGACATGAGTCGCGACTGTTGGAGGAGCATCATTTTGAGTTCTTCCCTGTTGATTTTTCCATCATTGTTAACGTCCCATTGGCTCAAAATTGTACCTTTGAAAAATTCCAAGTCATTTTCATCGTAATCCTGCGAAATCCGGATTTTTGAGAATAGTTGAATAATGCAATACGTAAGAGTTGCAAACATTATTCAATTTGTATTACATGCACTATAAAATTCATTATAAATGATGATTTAAGAATGACCTGAATGCTTACGGAGAGTGCATGAAATTTTCATCTATCATGGATGACCCTGTACATTTTTACTGAAAAAGGACGGTGACATATTTCCCCTCTCTTTGGTACTGAATTTCAAAAAACGATCAAGGGCTGTTGCTCAAAAGAGGCATACAAAAAGAACAACTTGAGCCAAAGAATACCAGATCATTCTTGATACGATATGTTTTCTAATCTTTCAGCAACTGGCTTCTTTTCTTTGATGGGTGAGGTTACTGTTGTCCCCAAATGAAGCACGAGTATCATCAAATCAAAAGAATTGTTCTGTTGCTCTGAGGCCACAAAGCTTAAACTAGCTCCTTGTAAGAAGAATGTATGGTTTTTAACACTGTCCCTTTAAAGTTTACCGTGACTTGCTCAGGCGCCAGGGACCAGCAAACAGAGAATGCCATAAATGTTTTTGACAAAAGGGGTTTCTCTACATGGATTTTCAGCTGGCTCTGTATTTTGGCATTCATTAGCAGGGAGGTAATTTTCAACACTGACACTCGACAGGCATTGAGTTTTACCCCATTAGATATGCCGGGATTAGCAACCATGATAGCCCGATGGGACCTGTTATATAGCGCAACTTGAATTATTCGCCCCACCATCCACGCGGAGCGTTGCAGTCACGCCAGAACACCAGTGAAGTGTAATCAATAAAAAATTTATAGGAAAGTCACCCTGATTCCAATGAGCTCCTGAAAAATGCGTTCTAAGTTTGAATCGACGGCACTACTTGCCTAGTAGGAAAAAACTTAGCGGAGTTATTGAACAATTACGTGTTCTGGGGTTTCGCGCAATAAAGCTGCTATTTTTGCCGGCGGAATAATTTCCTATGAGTACTTTTTTTGTCTTTTTTACGCACAATTATTTGTGTATTTTGACTCATGGGAAACCTAACATTCCACAATGCACTTCATTCGATAAGGCCATCGGTGCATTCACGAACGGGAATTTCTGCCATTTTGCTGTCTGCAATGTATTTGCTCACTTGTTGCATTAATTTCAAAAGACATTGGTGTCATCACTAGCCAAAGATGTCCTTTATCACCAAGCTTGCTTCAAACAAAACTTTATTCTGGAAGAACCCGACTTCAACTAAATCAATAAAACTTGACTGAATGTGTCTGTCGGTGTATCATTGGGGCAAGTGATTTTAGCTTGTGATTCCTGATTGAGCAGAGTTATCTGAGTACGACCATTTCTAATACTTTATTTGGTAAGAACTCAACAGAGATCCATACAATTACCGCAGGGTGATAAAAATTCCTTTTCAACTGCATAGCGATTGCAGCGATTGTCATCAGCTTAACTGCGCTACACAATTAGGCCGTACAATGGACAAAAAGCTTACCTCCTGGGCGAGCTCCATCAGATCTTTTAAGAACCCAGACAGCTCTTCATCCTCAATGGTGTTGTTTCCGTCCTTAAAAGAGTGAAAATATGAATTTAGCAGTTATGTCATCATACCCAAATGAAAGGAATGAAGCACAAATATGTCAGTGCTTAAAGTTAAGCATTTAAACTATAAATTCAACTATCCAATTTGGCACGAGATATCTTTCAGTGGTTAGGTGAATCTGAATGTACTAAATGATTCGCCGGCATTGATAGCTAATTATCGCGCAACCACCGCCATGGACCGTGTGTTCTCCATGCTGGGTTGACAGAATCCACTTCCCTATCCGGGAAATTTTCAACATTTGGAAATCCTCAAACTCCCCAATACAAATTTTTATTTACATTATTAGATTCATTTAAACATTACTCTCATGAATAACTGTAATGTCAGTATGATTCATTATCGAATTCATGTGCACATTACACTTTCGGAAAACCCCCCTTTCAATATGATTTGAGTGCCCTGTTCAGTTTAGATCAGAGGAGACACCAGATTTGAGTTTCTTATTCTTAGAACTCGTCAGTACTACATACACTTCGCCGCGTCGGGTCTCTGCTATAGACATTTCACATGAACGTTTAGTGCAACACTATGGATTTCCATATGAGTTATCTCCTATAAGTAAGCGAACATATTGAAGCTTGAATAATGTGATTAGTTTGCCTGAGGTTCCGACTAACTACTCAGTAGTTGTCGTCTCTCGGGCCATCGACTGTCCCTCGTGAAAGAGATTTCAACTCAGAAGCGCCGAAACGTCTGACGTTTGACTAGATATAGGTGGTCAAAGAATTTTGAGTATCCCTGTTTGCTTCTTCTCACTTGGTAATTCAAGTTCTTCCATCGTGATCTGGTGGAGTAGTGATAACACGATCATCCAAAATGTCAAACATTTGAAGTTCGAACCTCGACATGACCAAGGACAAAATTTACCGGTGAGTTTTAGTAAAAACGATGGTGAGGTTCAGCACTTTCATTGTTTTGTTTAGATTTACCGAAATAAACTTACTTTTCTGGATGAAGCATCACAAAAATGAGTGTGGTGAATAGATCGGAGACCCATTGAGCTATACGGACAGGTGTACGCCGGACCCTCACAGAGTCTCTCATACCAGGTTGGTCAACGTGTAGAGGTTTGACAAACACAGTCTCCTGGCCCTCCAGGTTGGGGGTTGGAACATGTAAGGCGACATGTTCCATAAAAGTGTTAATGTACTTGTTATCAATGTATTTTCTAGCCCAACACCGCTGCATTGCGGTTAGGCTTTTGAGCCAAACGCTTTGGTTTAGGACCCTAGGTGTGGGCACCTGGGCAGTATCCCTGCCCTTGTACAACCATTACATTGACATATAACAAGACACGTACGGCAGTGAAGCATCAGTGCCAACATTGATGTTACTGGCTTTGATGATGATGTCTCTGGTTAATTTAATTCCTACTATTACACTGCCGTGTATCTCTGAAACGTTTTGTGTAACTAATGTTAGACTAGACATTCCTGATGTATTTCTAACTTTAAAAGTAAGCAAAGCAATCCACATAATATTAGTTTCAATAAATTAGAATGGGAAGAATCCGGAGTGGTAAGCAGGCAAATATATCACGCAGCCAAGCAATTTTTCAGAGCCGCCCCTTTGCCGTTTCTCCACCGAAACTTGACCAAAGGACGTATGTTGAAGAAGGTTGTGGTTTGTATGTTCACCCACACCCGTTACATCCTGTAGGCGTGTAATAGAGGTGGGTGTAACTTGATATGCTTTTTATCAGTGGTATTGTGAATACTTTACCAGACAGAATATTACTTTTAATCATTCCAGTGAAAAATACAAACCTGACTATCCACGTAGATTCATCGTTTTCTACTGCCCTACTGTAGGAAAAAGACCAATGCATCAACCATTACCCTAGCTAGTCACAAATCAGGGTATTGCTTAAATTTGATCATCCTATACGGTAACTGTTTGAAAAACGTCCCTACGATTTCTGTAATTATTTGTGAACACAATAGGAAGGAGCTGTTTCTTAGAAAAACTGGGCACTGCTACGGGAAATTAGCATGTTCAAAAGTGAAAAGATTCTAGGGACATTTGAGGAAAAGATTAGTTATAAGCTGTAGAGTTATGTTGCATGAAATCTTGTAGCTTGATGACAGAGAGATATTTTGTCAAGACGGTTAATTTAATGGGAAGTGTATCTAGCCATAAAATGTGTGTTCAAGTCCGTTTTCTGAAAAAGCATTCTAAACAACTGTCTAAATGCAATAGCAAAATCTTGCTTGCTTTTATGCACTCGCTCAAAACGGCGCTGAGATCATTCGCCATCCGTAGCTATCTGCGCTTCATTTAAGCTTTTGAACCAGGAAAGACCGGCTTTTGCTCACGTTAACATAGCCTAGTGCTGTATTCTAAAATATATCTACTTCGCAAGCAGCTGCGACCACTTCCACTTAAAAGACCACCTTTTTGGAGAACACCCGATATCCTTTGCTGTTAGATGACATTTATCTTGAGATCTTTTTTAAGAGAATAAGCGTGTTAATATGCTTCACGTCTATCTTTGAGATAACTTGTGTTGACAACTTACATTTGCTAATTCAGTGGTTCAGCTCACTATCTTGAACCATGCAGCAAGCATGAGTCTGACATACATTTGGACTTTCCTAATGATAAAAATTACTAACTGCGGATTTAAGGGTATTCACTAATCTGAGAAAGTTATTGGAACAACCATTTTTCAACTTGTCAGAAGAGTAAATTATCCCACTGATAATGAAATTTTCAATATGTTGATTTGGGCGATAAACTGTTGCAATGCGGTTGAAATAACTAAGTTCGCAGCTGTTTTATTATGGCGAGTTGAAAATGCCTTCAGACTTGAGAGCCATTGCGAACCACATTTTTACACGAAAAATTTCCATTAGTTCATGTGAAGTAAAATACATTGGTTTCATTCCAAAAATTCCTGTTTAGAATAAGAAAAAAGATGTGCTGACAATTATGTTTTCGGCAAGGTCTTTTTAAGCCACCCGCAAGCATAATCACAGCGGCTCGAGCTTTTGCCATACGATATCGTGACTTGATCATTTGTCGGCAAGACCGCTTTGTTCGTCTATTATGCTCGCCATCGTTCAATTCACCTTCCTCCACACATACACCGTGTGCTGAACACACAAGTACATTACTGCTTCACTGACAAGCTAAGGTTGTCCTATTAGTGACCTGATCTAGTTGTCCTTTGATTGGTAGACAATTTCGTCCCTCATTCGATTTCCCCTTCATATACACCATGGTTATCCAAATAAGTTACATACTGCTCCATTAACCTTTGCAACTGAATGAGTTGGAAAGACCTTGCCAAAAACACGTTCATCAACCAATCTTTCTACTTAAGCTACTTCCACTCAAATGTAGGACATTAAAATCGACTAATCCAACACGGTGCCAGACATCTTATTTTGCAGATCGCAGACCGCTAATGCCTTTTTGTGAAAAAAACTGTTAAATACCGAGAACCCGCAATTGCGATTCCAATAATTTATTATTGCTTTGAGTTCAAAAGTGCCTACCTATTCCCAAATCACGTTTAGAACATCTCTGTCAGAAAACTTGCTGCGGTAATATCGGCAATCACTCTGAATGATATTTATATACATATATATATAAACATTTATACCTCCAGTTGATTCGCAAGCTATATCTGGATTTTATGATAAGCAGCTATCGCAGTTACTGATAACATTGTCTTGTTCCCAATTTACTGAGAGCCTCCGCATCTTTACTTAACCGGACAAAACATTTTGTCAAAATATTTTCAACTTAGTCCGGGTGAAATCTGCGTTGGTTTACTCATCTGGTAGTTCGGCATTACTGAATGACAACATCTTGAATCTTGAGAAGTGCAGTAAACACGATTCCGGTAAAATTATATGGAAATTTTCCGGTCTGTGACCATTCTAAGACAATAAATTCTTATGCCAGAAAAATTGAAAAATAATCTTGTGCTTTCCCAGTAACTCTAGAAACTTTGAACAAGGTAGTTCGTCATATAAGTAGAACCAAATAACGCTTAAATCTCAAAACGATTCTAGCATACTTCGTGGGATAACCGCCACTGCGCATCTCATGAATCTCTAGGGAGACCCAAGTCTGTGACCATTAGGTTGGCACCTTAGGTAATAAATGATGGTCTTCCTATGTATTTGAATTAATGTGGCATAAAATGCGGCTTCACGTATTTTGACGCTTTATTTAATACGTTTTAAGGTATTCTGAATAGTTGGACCACTTGCTTACTGTTAGGAGATCAGGGTTCAGGAGTTTACGGGTGGACAACCTGGACCGTTTGATTCCAGATGGAAAATCATATTTTTTATCTAAAATTAAAAGTTCAAAAACGACGGTAAACCGCGCCGAATGAGTTCTGGATGCATGACCTAATGGACTTTTGCGGGTGTTATGAACGTTAAATTGTGAATCATGTAGCAACCGTATCCGTACTGAGCAAGGATTGTAACATTGTCTCTTTTGAAGAGATTCCCTTAGTGGTTGGATGATTGAGTATCCAAAACCCTGTAGTAATGCAAAACAGGCTGCCAGCCTGTGGGTATCACGAGACCATGTAGTAAAAATTTACTGAAGGTGTTAGGAAACTCACCAGGTCGTACAAAGAAAACGCACGATCGATATCCTCCGACGTGATTTTGGATGCGTTCTATCAGGGAACAGAACAAACAGGAAAGCTTTTATCATTGCATTATTTTTTTCCTTCTTGTTGCACATGCATTAGAAATCCCTCTTTTGAAAAGACGCTCCCACCTGTTTAACTCTCAAATAGCTGCGCTTTGCCAGTTTGCTGTTTGAATAGACTTTAAGATGATGGTATCTGCGGATTTAGACCCATTTTGAGGGCTCAAAGAAAAGAAGAAATTATCTGAGCTCCCGAAGGAGGTTCATTTGGATTGTGCGTAGTACCTTCTTGGAAATGAACCTACTCCGCTATTGTGACAATTTTATTACTTGATATTTAAGCTGGACTTTTTCGCAACACAAATAATTGAAAAACACTTTTCTCCCATGAACGTCCTAATTTGGTTGCGGATCAACGTCATCCAACACTAGAAAGCGCGCTTATTTTTTAGACGTAGATTCATTTCCATTTGGACGTCTCTCTTTAATTGCTCAAAACCAAGCTGAGAAATAACATCGTATGAGATTACCACTTGGTTTATTACTAATATTGGTCAAAATATTCACCTATTTGGAAAACTTACTTAAGGAGCAATTTGCTAAGTGTTATTTATGGTAAGCATTTCCCAGTTAGACAAAAACATTCAGGAATTTTTCTCATCACTGCTATTTATTTGTTTAGTAGACAAGAACTATCTTATACTTTGGAACGTTTGGCGAAAAACAAAGATGCTAAGCTCAGCTAACGAATACACTAGAAGTGTTCTTCCCATAAAGTAATTAAGTATTCTCAGTTGCAATTCAGCGAATTAGATGAACGAAATGGCAAATTCATAAGTGATAATGAAAAAACGCTTTTGTGCTGTTTTGAAAGACATTTGTGGAAAAGAGACGAGCAGTATCTGACCACATAAGTACCTGAGAAATGTCCAACCTCGGAGAAAATCGATCGCACTTAGTTAGCAGAACCTACTCGAGGGGGAATAAAATCGATCTTAGAGTACGTAGCAAGGTAGGGATAGACCTGCATGCAAGCTGATCAAATTACAAAACGTGTAGGGCAGACAGATGATTGAACCTTCCTCTAGAACCTGAAGCAGATAAGTGCATTTAAAGGGCGCCTAATTTTGCTGTGGAATGTAGTAATTCTGGACAAAAAGAGCGTTCAGGTTTTACGGTGGCATTTTCGTGGGTACAGCTTACTACAGTATACTATACTATATGTACTATACTATATACCGTACTATGCTATACTACAGTATACAGTTTCCATACTAATGTTTTACCCACTGGGAAAATCAAGGTTATAAAGTTAAATTTAATTTTGACATCCATTTACAGTTTTCTGCCCTCTGTGGAAACAGTTAAACCACCGGTGAAAGTGTTTCTCCCTCTGATTTCCGGCATCTATAGCCCTACTTTTGAGATATTTACACAAGGTGCAGCAGACGGATTACCAGAAATAAGCTAAAACGATTTTTGTCAGCGGCTGTAGGAAGGCCACAAGCAATTGCCATGGAACGTACCTTGAAAATAGGTCGACATAAGTAATTTTCTTTGACTGGAAGTAAACTGTATAAGGTAAAACGAATGAAACGTTGATCCAGTTTGTCGCTCGAGTTAACAATATATTGTATATTCAATAAGCATTTCTAAGAAACAATTTGAACATTTTCGTTAGGCACGTCTTTGGTAAACATTTTATTTAATATATTCAACCCTGTGTGACATTTGGCCACAAATTGGTAACCAATTTCTACTTCGCTAATTCGGAAGTTGACAGACGTTATACACAAGTCGATGGCGTCACAGACGGGGCGGAACAACCGGGGATAGTGTCAAACCCGAGTGCATTAGAAACATTACTGCCTTTTGTTTCTAAGGCACCCGTTTAGTCATTTTTGTGTATGAGTGCGCCTCCCTGCATTACTATTGTACATCTTGCTATGTTTTGTCCCTAATTATCCTTTCCACGTCAGTGTTTTCTATAAACAGAACTGCTGCATTATTTATTTGACTGAACGTGGTATCGCCTTCATTCAACGGGGTATTGGTTGGGTTGAATTCTGGCCAACGTATAGCAATATTTTGTTATTTGCGAAATGTAAAAATGACAACTGTAAGACAAGCAGCGGAATAAGTTAAGAATAGAAAGCTGCCTGAACACCGTCCGCCTTTATTATATGATGAACATGATAAAAATGTCGATGTAAATAAAGGTTTGATTCTATCCTGATATGAAATGTGAAAGAAACCGACTCAACTATCGGGTAAAGGTGACAGATCAAAGAAAATTTTGCCCACCATCATGTCTAAAACTGGACTTAGCTAATTCCAGTTTTCTTTGAACCACACAAATTTGTTGCATCTGTTTTCAGCGCAATACAAGCGCATATCGTACCGGATGAAAGTCATGGCCTGCAAAACAAATCGACTGAACGCTTTGTTATGTATCCAAAGTCAAACCTATGTAACATGTGGAAATATCTTTAGTTAACCAGTCAGTCTGTCGACAAGTGAATTAACATTCAGTGTAGAAGATCAATAATGCCCAATTTTTGCTGTAACTTTCAAGCTCATGTGCTTATTCACGCATGTTGTAACCTTGCCGTTCCAATTACCGAAGGAAACTTTTTGTTTCATAAACTACTTCCCTTATCTTTGTACCGAAGGCTTCTTGAGCCCAAAGTCAATGCCTGTTGTAGTACGGTACCACTACAACACACAAGAGATCGGGGGGTCTACTGAGAACTTGAGTAATCCAGAATTTTTCTTATTGTCCGTAAAGAGTGGACGCTTTCCTCTGGACGCACTGAAGTAGCTGGCAGTCCCTCAACCTCTTTGCATTATAGTATTAAATACACTATTCCTGTTGACACACTGACGACAGTTTTGCCACCAATTAAGATGGTTTGCTTGTAAAGTTTCCCCCGAGGCTGGCACGATTATCTTGCCATAAAGTTCAAATGGGGTAACGCGGAGCACGAACAATGAATACTTTCAGCATAATTGTGTGATCTATCGCTGCGAATACGTATAAATATACAAATATTTCTGGCCGAAAACTGCTTAGCAATGCTTACCGAGCCATTTCACTGAGTTGAAGTTTCCCATCTTTATTCTGATCAAACAGTTTCAGCTGGACAACAAAGTAAGAAAACCATAAACATTATTTCAGTTAATGAAAACTGTCTGAGAAATTGTAAACAAAAGAGAAACTACAAAGATATTCAAACCAATTTGCACACATCTTGATAACTACATGCTTTTGGTGGCTATACTTTGTTTACTAAACTTAGCAGGAAAAAATATATACCATATTTGTCAAGTTGACTTCCGAATTTCTCTTTGGTAAGCATAAACACCCTGGTGATTCATTTTATTAGCGCTTTCCGGCCAAATAAGCGTGAAATTTGAGGTTGTGGTTTGTGAAAACGGCTACCGTAAACTCATGGTTGAGTCTAATAAGTAACTTAAATAACCACAAGTGTTTAATGCTGCGAAAGCACTTCTAGCTCTACGTGAAAAAAACGCCGGTTTGGTCACCCTGGAATGCGCACAAAACTGCAAGGAAAAAACTAGACATTTGTTTTACAGTATGGACCTTCTGCTGGTAAATTGGAAGCGACATCCGTTACAATTTCTTAAAGTTTACAGACCAATAGCTTCCATGCAAAGGGCTAGCTCTTAAAATGGGATCTTTAGGAAACTTTATGAAACAGCGCCCATAGCTTCTGTTGCTTTTTTTCTGTCGGGAACTTTTCAAAAAGGCCGCACATCCACTAAGCGACCCGTAGACTAGATTTTAGCACTCAGGTTTCAAGATTAGGCTCTTGGAGACAAGGCATCAGGGATGTAGTATTCATTCTGATTACCACAAGTTCTACAAAAAAACCAAAAAGTTTTTTTAACCTATACAAATAAATTTTGACTGTATGACGCTGAGTGTTCAAATATATCTAATTTATTAGACCATGAATACAAAAGTTAACCAGGATTTTACGCGGCCTACAACTTTCCCAATAATTCTTTTTTTCCAAATTTTAGTAGCCATGTGGCTGGCGTAAGCGGAGGGTAGAATTTTATCCATTCGTGTTGTTAATCAATAGAAAAAGTTATTCTTTCTTCTCACACAGAGAGCGCACTTATTTTACTGTCACATTTGTTCGGCTGTCTACTGCTCATAAAAAATATCACAACAGAATTTCCAGATTGGCTCAATGGAGGCATAGTGGCGGACCACTGTATTTTATTTATTGCTTAGTTTACCGTGATTTTTCACACAGCACATTCAGACAGGCCTGATTCACTGGTATGCTGTAATAATTTTATCACGAAAAATTAGTATATTACAAACTCTATTGTCATGTTTCAAACCTAATTTGCAGATAATCCGGCTGGTACGTCAGCTGGTGAACGAACCAAAGGTGCTTTGACGATTTTCAACATGTGCAAAATAAACCGAGTTTCAAGGATGGGAAAGTATATTTTTTGTTTTTATTTCCAGTTAACTAATTTACGTAAACTTGGGATTGCGGTGCACATTTTTGCAAAGAGTGAACTGCAAGCGGAGTTTCCACATCACTACATGGTTAGTTCAATCCACTAGAATTCCCCTCATGAGGAAATCACTGAATGAAAATCAAGTTTGAGGAAAATTCAGGCTAAGCACACACCATTTTCTGCCATTTTCTCTGAGGGAAAAATTTCAAGGATCGAACACAGCACACGTCCCAAATTCCAAAATAGCGTGTTCGTTCTCAGAAGGAAACATTACAATGTAGGTGCAGCATTCTGCCAACTCAGGTTCAATATTCAACTGATACACACAAACCGACCAGACTAATGCAACGCATTAAAAGAGCTTTTCAACTGGTCACAGTTCAGCCTAGAGTTGTATACTACTCAATTTATCAGCAGATGTTAGATGTGGAATACGCAGTGATTGTTGAGAAGCCACTGCCTATGCCGCGGCAAGACACCAGCACTCGACGTTTATCTAGGTAACGCTAATCGTCATGTATTCACCAGTTTATCAGGGTAGCGATCAAAACCGACCATCTTTGTGGGTTCAATCACGCCTAGCCAGTTAACACCAAACCAATTTTATCCGCTATCAGAATCAAGTGACCGTTATGCATGTCCATTATGCTCATTAGCACAGTTCATTCCAGGGCACATCCAACTGTTGAATTCCTTGTTTTTTATGTCTTATGCGAAGTATGATTCTCTGTCTTATGCAGGCAAGACTATTTTAAGCAGCCAACTCATCAGTGATAATCGCCTTTTCGCGGGTAAACAGGTCAGTCATGAAGGATTTTATCTACCATTCAAAGGCTGTCATGAAAAGCAAAAATTAACCTACCAACTGCGCTTCCCTTTCTACGTGTAACGGTTTGACTTACCAGTGTAAAATGATCCACTTGAGATACCAGATCCAGCGGAATTAACCTAGTTAGGTTTTACCATCTGCAACCGTCAAACTCTTTTGGTCGCTGAGGTGACCGAATGCTGCGAAACTTCTTAATGACCGGAGTGTCCCCGGCTCTCAAATACTCCATTTAAAGAATGCATGCATTTTAATTTGGACTGGAGGTTCCCTGGCTTTCACTGTAATCTCGAAACATTGAAAACCAGGCGGAGAGTCATACAATCAAAATGGGTGGATAGCGTATCCAAATACATTTGCTTCAACGTATGAAACGCTTACATGAAGTTCAGCAGGAAAAACAAGTGTCAAACAGTCACTCACTATTGATGAAGTATATTCCTGCAATTTTGCTTCATCGATTTCCTCATTGGGTTTGGCTTTCTTCAGCAAATGTCTTAAAAACTCCTGCAATGGGTCAGTATGAACTCGGTACGTACAAATAAAGATGAACATCGAAGTCAAGAATCTCCGAATGTTAATTAGACAGACAAAAGTGATGACAATTTCGGTATTTACGTTTGAAATACGAAGCAACTCTACGGTCCATGCATCAATAATCCAGTCTGAACATTGACTGTATTTTGGGCTAGTCTCAAAACACAATAAATTACCTTTCTCTCCGAGTACTGTCGAAAACACGTCATATATCAGACGTTCCAAAATATACGAAGGACCTGTTTTACATTACCCGGTATGTGATATCGTCAGCTTGAGGTTTTCTGGATGAATAAAATGGCACAGTGCTCTTTGGGATTATAGCGTAGGCCTACTGCAATGACTTATCAACCATCACTTGTGTCTAAATAATTTAAAACAGCAAGTCGTCTGGCGATGCTCCCCAAGCAGTACCACAACAAGCAACATACCTTTAAGGCTACATGAAAGAAAGATAATGACAATGTTGACTATCACAAAAGTATGTTATTGAAGTGGTACACCATCTTTCCACAGTTGTATAAGAAGAGTGATTGATGACCATGACCTTATTCCTTTTAAACGATAAAGAATATACTTGACTTCCCATCGGTTTTCTACATTATCTGGCCAATGCATACGATATATGCATTTACAACGAAATACCGCTATCCAGCATAGTCCTCGTTCCTGAAAATGTTCTGTTGTACTAAATGTTCCTAATATTTATAATTTTAAAATCCGCAATATGCCCGATAAAGTTTGAATTACATGTTTTGAACTACATATGGTTGGCGATTTTCATGAGTCGATTTCGAGTAAAGTGAATAAAACTAAGTCTGAAGCATACGCTTGATCGAAAACGGCTCCAGTTCAAACGCCATCTTCTAAGTCAGTTTAGGATGACTAAAAATTTACCGGCAACAAAATGATGTAAATTGAGGAACTTATTTATTTATGGCAGTCTTTGTGAGTTGGCTGCAAGGTTTGTCATTCTTTTTGCAAGATAACTTATCAAGCCCAATACACCATTCCTTAAATCTTAGTACACATTTATGAAGCTAGTCCAAGAAACCATCCAAAACCATACAATTCAAACTTTGTGCCCAGTTTTGAATTTCGTCTCAGCAAATCCATAAATTTGGTAAAACTACTTTGGAGGCAAAAACGATTTTGCATTTTAGATACAAATCTATGGGCTTGCTTTTAGATCAGCTGGAATTTTTGTCATTTATTATAAACTCACTACCTTCCACAATACCAGTACAGTGTCAACAGACAGTGATGACAGTTTACATAGGTGTTTATTTCACATTTCCAGTCTAGTGCATTACCCATCATAGTGAAAATGCTCGGAATAGCGTTTTGACAGGCCGGTGTGATGACAGTTCGAGAGTCCAGATAATACCAAGCTTTGCGACCACTCCGGTTCACTTGATAGATTCGCATATTTTGTTTCAGTCTCCGTTAAAAACCAATTGTCCAGTTTTAATTTTCCCTGTTCTTTGGTTCACCTCCTGTACCGATCATCAAAACAAATTACGAAGACCAAATAAATCTAGTGGCATCTCACTTGTTGGTGATAGAACGCCCGAAATCTGATTGTTTTGCCTTGAGAATAGATCGATGGACTCATGCCCATTGACCGGTCCACTCAACCGTGATACAAATACTTTGATAAGTTGTTAACCTTGCGTCTTATACTTGCGCCACTCTAAGTCATTCTACAGCTCAAATTCAAACCTCACTCAGACCACAAGACGATGTATGGTAAAGTTAAATGCATCCTCTTGCATCATCAAGGTTAAAATCTCGCTAATCGACAGCACCTCGAAGTCTCATAATAATGTTGGTTGTTGATCAGTGATCAACAGTGATCAGTGCGCACTGATGTCTCCTTGTATGGCATCGAAACGTTTGCAAGCCAATTTCCAAGTTCGGCGAACATATCAACAGCCACCTGATTAAAAACCAATAAACTCACCCGAGCTACTAATATTTCAACACATAATGTGTAGTTCATTTGCGTTCTTCATTTTGTGAAACCGGTAGGCATGCGCCATGCAGCGCAGTGAAGATGAACGTATAAATTGTTACGAACTTACCCAAGCTTTACCAATGTTTTACAACTTAATTTTGCAACTTAAATAATCAAACAGTATTTTAAAAATAAGCCATGGTCGCCAATTTTCTTCGTTTTCGAATATTGAGGTTTTGACAGGGAGAATTCCTTTTTCCTTTAGCAGTCAGTCACGACAAAGTGGGTGGAAGCAGCAGACTCGAATTTCGCTCCCATTAGAGCGCCTCCGCAGCACATATCCTTGGCCTTTCCGGAGTTTAAAATCCACACATCTGACATGAGCGTATTATCACTACCCCATCAGCGTCTGCGAAACTCCGGGACTGGTGTAACGGTGATACCATTGATGGAGAGGCACGCGAGTAGCATGTGTTGTTCGTGGAATTTCGCTTTGTGTCTTTTGAAAAGCGTAGATCTGTTGCGGAATTTATCGAGTCGCTTTGTAACATTTGCTTGGAGTCGATTGATGAATAACTGGAGTCAATGAATACCCAGAAAAGTTCAAGAAGACACATTGGGGAGAAACTGGATGTCCAGTTTTTGTAAATAAGATGTAAATGGGAGTTTTGCTTCCCTGTCCAATGGTCTGTAACTGGTCTGTTGGCATTTTCTAATAAATAACTCTGCAGCAAAAGGTGTGCTCTATTTCGCTTGTAGTTCCAAATCGCTAAGCCAATCGATCAACACGAACAAAGTATGTTACTTTGTCATCGTTAGAGGTGTCGGGCTTTGTGCTCGCATCACTGAAGCGCGGACATGTTCGCCCGTTCAGACGTAAACATTCAAACGTCTGCATGGTGCGCTAGTGGAGTAGTGGTTACACGCTCACCGCGCATGTCAGATGTGCAAATTTCAAATCCCGGAACGGCCAGGGATTTGATCGACCAATGAGTTCTAATAAGGGCTTCCCCAAAATTTGTGTAGACTCACCAGAATGATTACGCAGTGACCTGAGGACGATTATTTAAAAGAGATTCGAGTGTGCACTGTAAGCAAATCTCGCAACTATCAACACCTGAAACAAGTATTTTCTTTGAAATATGTGGTCCTTCTTTAAATGAATGCTCCTAGTTGATTTATCGTTAAAAACGTCCAAATGGTTGTACTTCACCAAAATAAAATCCGCCATCAAAAGCCTCGCAATATATGGCACATGTTACGATACCATATATATGTATACAAAAAATGCTTCAGTTTGTTAATTCGAAAAAACCATATATACTCGGTGCTATAGCTTGCGTTCGGTGATTGCTAGTGAGATGTTAAAGCACCATGCTAAATCCAAATGAGCTTTTGCGTCTTTCAGCAAGTGGCCTGGGCCATTCTTTAAACTGATTAAGTTCATCCGCAAAAGTGCTAATATTAATTCTATATATGTATATATTCAAAATAAGTCATGCCAAGAGAAGGAAAATTCGTCGTCTACAAAATTATATTTGCATTTGTAATGAGTTTACAGTTGTACATTTTGTACAAAAAACACCCGCTGGTGAAGTTGAACTACTGTACTCTGGAGTTCGTGTACTAGTTCAACTAGCCCACTCTGACCCATGTAAGTGAAGGTGACCACTTACGAGCAAATCATAAAGCAAATGGACCAGAGTACAAATGTCATCAATGCTATTAGTGCATCACATTTTACTGTGGAACTAAAATATATGAGAGTGAGAAATGAAGGGTGAAAAATATACGCAGTGAAATGGAAACCCACCTTTAACTCATCAGCTTCAATGAACCCACTGCGATCCTTGTCAAACTGCTTCCAAATCTAGAAAAGTATGTGGACAGATTTACTAGACTTTTGTCATTAGAAACTTGTGATGCAGAAATGGAAATCATTTATAGCCAAATCCACTTAGTGTACATCTAGTACAATCAAACCAAAGGGCCACATCAACGATTGAGCTCACTACAACGGGAAACGTCGCATAGGTCACTTCATGAGTATTAAAGAATGAAATTCTCACAAAACTTTGCGAATTATTATCCTAAAGTTGTGCAGACGGTAAGGATCATCGCACGTTTTCTATCTAAACATTACATTACATTATGTATACACTGGTTCAAACAGATTGGGAGGAAATCGGCTATTATGATATTAGAAATGGACACACCGGTTAAAAGGTTTTTGTCCTTAAACTAATGTCACGTTTTAATGACATGACGCATGTAAAACAACATTTGTAGTGTACTTTATTATCGAGGGAGTAAGCTACACACACCTGCATACATTTGACATTTAAACAGTAGTATGATTGCCCATTTGGATTCGTCGAGTTTATATATATCGATATGTATGAATATTTTACCCGGACAGAAATGCCCAGTGCACGTATACCGAACAAAGACGCCGTGATATTATCTCAGGGCCAAAATATGTAACTTGTGTAGACTTTGAAATCGTTTTATCAAATCTGAATGCAAAGGTTTAAGAGGTATACCACTAAGACTGATGTGAGTGCTTATTATTCCAATTAGTTATTCAAAAACTGAATAAATGTTGCACGAAAATATATTTAAACCTTTCTGTTTTAGATGTTTACACAACACTAAGACGCTTACTTCTTCCGCCTAATTGCTCTCTGCGAATATTTTGGTGCATGTGCATATCTCAGTAGCAAAAAGATCATGCTAAGAAATTTACGTCACTTGTTCGAAATTGGACGGCTGTAATGATCACAAGTTCAGATTCCGGTTACATTCGTTTCACATGGAAGAAAAACTAAATGACGTCAAACCTGCATAAAATACTTGCTCAAGCCTTAGGATGACCTGGACAATTGCTACTGGACCGCAACAGTAATTTAGGTCGTAAACAAACCATTTTTGATATGTCTTTTTGTTTTACAACGGACCAATTTTGTGCTTCGGATTTGACCAGATTAACTATCTCGTTTCTGAGTAAATCGGGCTAAATTTTCAGTTTGCATATTGTGAAAATTACAACTTATCCTGCCGGGCAATATTTTTCTGAGATAAAAACTCCTCTGGTTCTGGAGGCGGAATGTGAATCATTAATATTCCAACCGGGAAGGCAATGAAAATTTGTGGCTGTATACAATGTGTCCAGACACACATACACTACACAATCGTTGCTCTTAGGAATGGTCAACAAGCTAGTCACCCGCGTTTCCACTTATGTTGCATGTTCCGCAAAATAGAAAACGATGTTTCCCGACTGTTAGAACAACCTCCCAGGATTCTTGGTAATAACATCTTAACAGTTTTCACCTTGATTTTGAAACCTTGCATAACACATCCGCTGAATACTTTCGCGAATACTATCGTGCTCAAAAGGTGGGAAGTATTTGACTGGTATCAAAAAGTTTTCAACCGTTGAAAATAAATCAAGTGAATTTTTCTACGTCTAACGCTCATATATGCACACTATATTTTAAAATTCTGCATATGGTCAACAGAGGCGCCAGCCGTCTCTGCAGTGACAATGATGGTGCTGCAATATTCATCACTGACATAACGTAATGCAGTAGGGTGTGCACTTTGCGTATGCATTGCCCGCTGACGATGGTAAAGAGAGCAACGCTACAGTGACGGAAGACCGTTTGTGATATATCTGTATGGATAACATTTTTCTGGACCATAAGTAATCCAAGTTAACACATTTGTAAGAACATTTCTCCGCTCCGCCGTGAAGTCTTTTTCTTGCCTAAACATGCGCTGCAAGCAATGATGTAGGCTTGCGCATTATCCTAGCAAAAGGTGGGGGCAGATATGAAAACGCAGTATTTCACGCTTTCTCTTCTAAACCCGCTGATGCGCAAACACGTGAGTCTCATGTGCGTCTTTTTTGTCACCACTGGCCGTTAATTGCAATCACGAACATGGTTTCACACTTGCCTCCAGTGAATCACATCAGTGACTAAACTCTGCCCGCGCGCCAACTTACCATGAATATTCTTGCAAATTTCCAGCAGTATATCCATAATAAATAACATTCCATGCTCACACTAAGAGTTATACCCACATATCTTATTGATAAAGCAGCTTTAAAACATTTTTCGAATTATTTTGTGCTGGATGTTGGACACAAAGAGTAGAAAATTGCTGTTCCTTCAGCATTTTCAAAAGAAATGTTTCAGTAAATCGTAGTAGGCTTTCCAAAATAATACTCACAAGGAGAACCTTATAAACCAGAATAGTTTGACATTACTGCGAATTTTGGGTTGAATAACAAGTAGTCGGACGTATCATTGCTTCAATGTATACTCTAATTGATGTATATGATGCGAGTTGAAAATAGATTTAAAACACGAATGCTACCCTGGTTTGATTACGAGGGTCCGCCAACCGGGGATTTTTTGTGAAAGTGTTATAGGGAAGAATTCCTTCATTCACGTTACAACCTCACGCAGCACCACAACTTACGCGCATAAATTCCACACTCGATTCCAGTGGGTTATCTTGATGAAACAACACTAAGAAATTTTCTTCCGTTGGAAGGATTTTCGCCAACTACAACAAAGTAAAATATGGGCACGTTTTATTGGTTTTATTGGATTTGGACATCCCTTCTGGTTTTATCAACTTTACATTCCATTGCTATTTGCCTAAGCATTCTGTGTTCCAAACGTTTTTCCTTAGAATGACAGCAAATGCGCTAAACAAATGAATGTAATTTGTTTCTTTCGTTTCCTAATCGATAACAATTATTGTACTGAAAAACGCGGAATGAAGAATAAGGCCTGGTGAGAGATGTTTAGACATATTTTTCGGCACTTTAACCCAGTATCAATAAGTTGCTCACTGATACAGGCACACGACAAGCACACGGCTCCATACTATGGATCAATGGTGGAGAATTTCGTTAAAAATGGTAATGAATTTGAACACGCAATGATATTTTGTCTGTGATATTTTTCGTCCTCTTATGTAGAAAACGATTGACAGAATCGTCGTTGCTAGAACGAATCCAAGTTATACATACTGTGCATATGTAGATGTATCCGGCAACTGATGGCTCAGATTTGATCCGCCGTTTGATTCACTTCATCATAACATTCTGGAAATGGTCTAATAGCGTTCTCTGAACATATTTTTCTGCAAATCACGCTTACGAGTTTCTGGTTGGAGCAGCATTTTCGAAGCAAATAATGATCCTAAAAACTCGGCTACGAGATTACGAAATCACCATAAATATGTGCACATTGCCCAGCGGCTTTCAGTACTATGGTACGATGCTCGGGCCGAAATTCAACAAATTAAATGTATTACAATTTAGGGGGCTTTTCCATATGACATACAGCACGATTAGTGTGACCTCGATTCCTCTTTTGCCAGAATTAGATAAAAACTACCGATAAATTCCGCAGCATGTATACTTTCCTCATGCATACAACGCAAGGCCAACAGTCGATAAAAAAACAATGTATCGGTTAACATTGCACAACCAAATATGCTGCAACTGCAGCCCTGACCAACCCATCAACGTCTTACTGTCCTCCGCCTGTTATCCAAAGAGTTGGGATCAGTACACCTGAGCACTCAAGATAGTGCACCGTCTAGGCATATTTCCTAAATATTTTGCTTTGTTTGTGGAACTTGTGAAACATACTCATATATATGTAGGTGATGCGGAAGTGTCAAATATCAACACAGGGCGACTTCCATGTGCAGTAATGGGACACAAAAGTATATCAGTTTGTTGAAAACATGCTGTCTAACAGGTAAATTTTGCTGCAAGTAGTCTGCCTATTGCACTTTCCTATTAAACTTTGTTTATACAATCCGCCATTCATTGTCGGGCTGCACTGTTGCGACTCACCTCGCACAGTTCAATTCGGTTGTCAGAATTTTCATCAAACGTTTTCATGAACTCTTTTTTCATCAGCTCTAGGTCATCTTCTGCAATAACCTACGGTGAAAGGATGCATAGAGTGTAAAATGAAGTCACGTATATTCAAAGTATAAAACACTTGAAAAAACCTTCTCACACTCATAACCATTTATGTTTTCAGTAATGAGTTTTTTCACGAGGTGTATTTGCGTCTGTAGCTTAAGGTAATAGTTTTCAACACTCTTTTAAGGCAATGACAATGCATCATAGTTCACATTTTAACCTCACAAAATCGTCAACTAAAGAAACTGGGAAGCTCGTAAACTTCTAAACCGTAAATCCTAGAGTAAATTTTGAAAAGTATTCATCTCATATCATGACCCTGACATAATGCGATGACCTTTTTTATTACAGGTACGGCAGCATTGGTAACTACGTTATAAATGAAAGAGTGGCCTCCGAGAAGTCAAAGCAAACGTTACCTTATAGAGAAAAACCATGTAAAAACTGCCCTTTTGAGAACAGTACATAATGATTCAAATGCAGGCTTGAAGTTTAGACTGAAGTGCCGGAACCTATGTGCAGATTGTGCAGGTAATTTTCTGTTATCGTTTGTTTGTTAGCTTGGCCAAAAAGCAACTAGCAAACGGGATACGCAGTAGAAACCTCGTTCCATTAAGGTGTGAAAAAAGCAGTCACAGCTGAAACATTATTGCAGAGCCTCTAATCCAGATTACCCGATGGTAAAAACGAAAAATCCCTTTGAGCGTTCTACTAAAAAACTCTGAGATGACCACTAACTGAGCTTAAGACCTTACATGACCCGTAATTACAAGAACCTGTTTATCTAATCGAATCAGAAATCTTCATAGCAAAAAATGGAGGCTATGATAATATGAAAATCAAACCATACCCTCTAAAAATACGGAATCACTAAATGAACATCATAAAATTGATAACCTACTGACGAAACCTATCAACCGATAAAACCATTTGTCACGTGGTGCTACTTAAATCAGACATTCGACATAGATAAACAAAATTTAGCCGTTTTTAAGAGTCACTGTAGTCTGATCAACAAGTGTTGGCAACTCTTGGATAGGACCAACAACCATCAATGATTGGCAGCTGGCCAGTATCTGCTTCAATCGTATAATGCTAAATTAAGCATCCTCATGTCCCTTACCCATTTTTTAATGAAAAACCTCTCAAAAAGCTGCAGGGGGCACTTTTTCTGTAATTTCAGTTAGTATTTGGTAGAGATTTACTTACTGACAAAAAAATTCTCTAGTACAATATTCCTCCATTTTACGGCTTCTGTATGGTTAGCTGTTTTAGTATTCCTTTGCTCGCAAGCTTTAACAAATGGCCTCTTGCATGTTCAACAATGTCTCTGCTCCAGCTATCACCATTACCTAAAACTGAAATGTATTTCGACCCTTTCCTGGCACCAATATGACTGAGTGTATGATAGGTGATATTATCATGATACTCTGCCTCATAAGGCATTTTAAACGTCAAGTTTTTGAGGATTCTTGACATTGTGAGCTTAGCTGCCTGTGTCCAAAAGATCTTACTTACATGAAAGCTTTAAATTCGGTTCATTACGAAGATCACAGTGGTTACATTTTTATGTGTGACCATCATTTTTTTAAGTCAGCGGGAACCGGCCATGACTAACAAAGGAAATGTGAAAAATTTGGAATCAGTACACTATCAACCTTGGTCATTCTAAATTTTCTAAAATAACCTCAGTTATAAAAGCTCTCACATAAGCAAGAAAAGGCGCAATACACTGAATGGTTGCAGTAATACTCAGACAAATAAAATAGCAGACCTCCGATGTTTTGTTACTAGCATGTGGTCTATTTTCGGTAGGAGTCGATCAAAAATAACTGGGCCGAAATAACTGGGAATGATATTAGTGATGAATAAACTCGACAGTTGGAATGAATATAGCCACCTGTCTGTGAAAAAGGTTAAATTCATGAAAAAATGAAGTCAGATGCTATGTGATAACAGGACATGGTGGCTGTAATTCGCGAAAACGTTTTGTTGATATACAGCGTTTATTTAGGTTACACAGAATGTTTCGCTAGACTGTTTGGGATCTCCGTTGAATGTAGACCACTTTTCAGCGTACGACTGAATTTGCTTGTAAAGGGGAGGGAACAACAGGAATCAGATTTATATCACTGTATATCAAAGTTTACGTTATATATCTGCTAGGATAATACGAAAAAGTAGCCCCCCAAAAGTAATGTTCTCTCCGAGGCCTATTGCGGGCTTCGGTTTATTTGCCTACAGTGGTCCCACTGAGAGGAGGAAGAAAGAGAAGGGACTCGAAGTTTTCTGAACAATGCGAATCCCACAGTATATCTTGGCTTTTCAGCATAGACTGGCATAAATTACAGAGGACAGTTCGTTTAGCGTTTCACGGTTACAATGTCGGTGACCAAAGCTGAACATCCAAAATGCCAGCACTATCTGGCGATGGTTCTTTTTGTTTCCGCACCATTTTCTTCCATCCAAACCCTGCACTAACTATTGTTAAGCATTACCAGAGAACTCCTGTTACCCAATTTCACAATATAGCCTCCATATTCGTAGTCCTACCTAGACCAAATCTCTCGCAACTTGTAATTCTGAAATACCATGATGTTATTATACTTAATAAATACCATCCAAGAAGTTGTGAACTTGCAAAATCAACGAATTAATGGTTACATCACGCGTCATGCGCACAGACGACTTTGGGTTGAACAGCGTGGGTCGGAAAGTAAAGTCATATATTTAAAGTAACTTATCTTGAGTGAATTATTCTGCTGGTCATCATAAATCATTCGTCAAAATTACTACTTGAAGATTTTGAGGAATTGGCAGCATATTTTGTTTAGTGTAGTGCATTATTGCTGAACGCTCCTAGCCTGGTTTAATGTCATTTCCATTAAGAGACTGAACTTCTTGGAAATCTATAATAATAAAAACTTTAACATATTCAACCTAGGAAATTTTTATCACTTTGAAGCACTCCTGGACAAAATGGTGTCGAAAAACTTGATGGCTATAAGGTGCTATAAGGTCTCAATACCTTTTAACCTACCTCTTCATAGTCACATTCGTGCATTATATCAAAAATAATACATTTTTGGTGGTGAATTCCTACTAATTAACTAACTCATAGGTCTACAGCGATACATATTCAAGATAATATTGCCTTTTATAATTATGCATACATTTCATTGCAGAGACTTAGGAGGAAAATAGTTTAAGGATTAAAATCTTACCTCTCCTCCGAGCTCATCCGAAAATACACTTGAAATAAATTCCCGTAAAAACTTGTCCAATTCCTTCCCTTCAATATATCCGTTACCTGAAAAAAGTAGAACGGAAAATTATATTCAGTCAGGCCTTCCTTAGTTACGTAGATCCTTGAGAGGACGAGTATGCCTAGGTTTTTATTTTTTAAAATTGGTGGTTGTTCTTTCCCTTTTATCGTGGCCGTTGATTTCCAGGATGCTTACTATTTTTAGAAGAACGAAACACAGTTTTTTCTATGGAAATTCTCGTATGTCTTAGTTGTACACTATCGGATGTGCACATAATTTTTGTGTCCATGCATCGTACACCAACAGCCTATGAATACATTTTTGCAGTATGGACACGCGCATTTAGCATCTCGCTGACAAGATTAGACTCACTCATGAATAATTTGCTCTCATTGTTTGGGCACCTGGGGACTATCTGTGGGAAATGAGATTATTCAAGCGTAAAACAAATTACTTAGCATATTCGGTGTGTCTGTTAAGGATACATGGATGGAAGAAAGATAGGGAATCGTAATATCACTGAATTAAAAAGCAGACAATGCGTGAAAATAACAGGGCGGAGGTCGATCTTAGTTCACAACCACCAACTCGACGTCGAGAGCTCCGATTAAATATTGCTTGTCTCCGTTTAGAAAGATTGGGAAGAACACGATTTATGATATAAGGCCATTTGCATTCTAGCCTAATTAACAACAATAGAATTACGTCGATTCATAATGGTATGGTAAACCACCACAGAGCCATCAGCAAACATAGTGCAATTGACCTAATCCAAAAATACTTATGGTAACAGAATTTCAAGTTTAGATGCCCAAAGTTGCACAAGAAATCAAATAAAAATCATGTCCGAGTCACCAAGGAGCCCGACTTAAGTGGATAAACCAGGTGGAGTGCAGTATATGAAAAAAACTATGTGAATGCAGAAGTTCGGCTGATTAGATTTACAAAGCCAGTCACCACAAAGTTAAAAAAAATGAGTAAGCACTATCGTGCAATCTAGTTAAAGAAAGCAACAACACAAAGCAAAAATTAAAAACGAACCAATCAAAACAAAGAAATGAAACCACCAAAACGAAAAGTCTGTTGGATACTCATGAAACTACAGTGATATAGATAACCATACAATGCAGTTTGTGAACGGACTATATAAATACAATCATATGAGGGCGCCGCGCACACCCAATCAGGCACCTATGGTGTGCTAGCCAGTGATATTGAAAATGCCAGGCTTTATATATAGATCGACAGCCGTCCGACCTAAAACTGACTGAAGTACCCAATTTACCAGTATTGCAATATATACCTAACATACCGCTATATTTAACCTGGTAAATATCTCCAAAAGTATACTCGGATGTTTTATGTTGTGCTCAAAGAAAGCTATATTTATCAGGTACAGGCTTCTAAAGCAGTCTCTCTGACATGTGCTAAAGAGGCCTCAATTATATACACGCATGTCCGAAAGCAAATTAATATTAGTTGCATTGAGATAATATAGAATTGCTGTTGTGATTATTCCGTGAAAATGCAACGTGGTTTAGGGTTTTAATCAGGTTTCACACACCAATAGTTCCTCTAATAGTTCCCTGGGAAGGCAATAATTTGCATTACACATCTATTCAAGGGTTTATAGTAGTAAGTAAATACTGAGGTTGCTATAACTGTAAAATGGTTGTTGATTGACGTTATTGACTGACCACCCATGAAATTTCAAGGACGTAGAAACAAAATTATCCTTTAAATTGTTGTGTTTAAAGAGTTTACCACTTACAAAACTGAGTTTATATGATTTTAGTGTATAATGATACATCAAATTGACGTTGATTGATTAATTGAATAGATGCCAACTATGTTGTTTGTTTTGCCACAAGCCATATGCAATTCTGTAGCGTCAGTTTGCTCATACGTTAGATTTACAGGTAACAAAACACAATGGACTTTAAAATCTACAAATCCTAGTATATAATTTAGCCCAGCCTTCCACGCTATCCTTTTCTGCATTCTACCGCACTTTCACGCTCATTGTCGTATGTAGTGCGGAATAAAAGCTAAATTTGTCCTAACAGAAGTCACTTGCGGACGTAACCAACCTACTTCAAGTGGCATACCACTTATAACCAAGCGCCGACAAATTTGTTTCGTACTAAATATAATAAGTCAATTTGATTGGTATGGTACAAATCGCGGAAATTCCCATAGGAGTTAGAAAGTAGGAATAGGCAAATGAACTGCTATTTATTGAAACACCTATGCGGCTTTCAAAAAAATAGCTTCATCACTCAGATTATTAGATAATCACGCACCATTTTAGTTCCCTAGGGTTTCTATCCTACTTACAGTTTCAGAGGTTTCTTTTAACGTAATATTTGATTGAGGTTGACTGGCTTGGAAGCAAATGCCGCATCTTCCCCTTCTGCCAGTTTTTGAGACTACTTTAAGTTCAATTTTTGCATCCTCAGTTTTATGCATAACAGTCTATTTTTTTAAAGCTTTGGACTATCTGCTTACCAGAACATTTGTTCTGAGCTGGACTGGGCTGTATTATGTGCCAAATTGCTTATGGGGTTGCAAGAAAGACAACTTAGTAAGCGGCTGGTTAATTAAATGGAATAAATTTTTCAAACCTAGTCGGTCAGTCTCTACGGTTCGACAGCCTATTCCTTAACTTGCCTTATAGGGATGTTATTCGCTATTGAACTCAAGTTATTTTAGTTTTATCCTAAACGTTTCATTTATTCCCAGACGTGAAACAGATTATGTAGTGTACTCCATAAGCTTCCTTCCTACATCTAAGAGACGATTATGAATAAACTAATGTGTATTTTCGATTGCGCAATACTGAGCAGTGGCTAGACCAGCGCTGAGCAAACTAACATGATACACACCGAAATCCCGATCGTTTCACGAGGATTCACTGAATATAAATAAAACGTGACTCACGGGACACAACTGAAACAAAAAAATATGACACGCTAGTAGTTTAAATCCATTATAACTAAATCCGATTTCGGTACATGAAGTGTGGCTATTTGAATCCAGTTCCAGCAAAGCTATATTAATTTATTCTTTGATAAACTGATGACATTCGCTTGATTTTTTCGTTAGTTCAGCCAGAAAATTCATTGAATAGATGAACGAGCATACCGAAGGCCTTCGGTTCACAAGTATTCTAGTCAGTTTTTAAAAACATGAGCGTCTGCCCAATAACGGTTGCCGATGAATCTTGTTATATGCCATGATATATTGGTGCGACCCGTACCTCCCTAACAGTAACTGAAGGACCATATAATGGTGCTTCCTGTCATTATGTCATATACATATGTGGAAATTTATATCCTTTGTCATACTGTATTACGCTCACATATTCTCACATATCACCTGTTTTAAAAGCGACCCACTATCAACTTGCATTTTGGATTAAATAAAAAATATTCAAAAAGAGCCTGAATCAAGAACCGAGTAAACTTAAATTTAGATTCAACAAAGATTGTCAGTGAGCCATAATTAGCTCAGGAGGAAGGAATGTCCGCAAGAAGGTTGAAACTAATGAGTGGCCACTTGAGTAATCAGTCAACATATAATCTGAGAAGTGGAACCTCTTGATAGAACGAAGTTCGACCATACATATATATATCATATTGCTGCTTAGTCGCTCACAACCGAGTAGTTAAGTGAGCAGTTACCAGACGAATTCATCAGTTCTATAGTGCACGTCATTTTCGTGATGGCTAATCTGATGAGTTCAAAGGCTCGCTGTAGGCAAACGGAGGCTAAAACGGATGGTTCCTTTCTGCACAGATATACTGCCAGTGAAATAGTTCAATCATTCCCGAAGTTTTCAGGAACATCAGTGAAACATCGAGTTCTCTGAAATATTTCTATTTGATAGGCATACATTGGTTCTAACTGTAGTGCATCTTTGTTGTGAAAGTTTCTGTCGGTTATTTGAGGTTCTCTTAATCAAACAAATGGGTTAATAGAGTATATGGTAACAAGACTGAACAGATAGGAAAGCGCCTGAATTCATTAGCGTGCAATCGGTTAAAAATCAGCCGCGGAGCACCCACTCGATTGTCGCGGTAATATGTTTGCACTGGACAGACTGGGCACTTCCTCCTTGCTCAACCACGATGATTCGCTCCTAGCAGGTGATGTTTTGAAAACAATAATATACACAGAGTTGGTCAGCGCTTGTAGAATATCATCGTAAAGAGGTTTTACTTCTTTTGCCGCAAAAACACCTGACTACTCTACGGAAAATGACACTAAACTTGTTTTCTTGTTTTAAATTACCCAGACTAAATTTGCTGTTTAATGTAAAAAATGTCCTGTTGCATTTATCAGCAACAATTGCACGTTTTGATGGAAAAAATCCCCAAGTAATTAGTTTCCTGTCATTGTGGAAAACATTTGTGGTTGGATGTCAAGCATAATGAAACCACTGTCTACACTTTTTGGGAAAAAAATTGACTGCCAGAACCGGAAGAGAATCAGATAACCAGAAAGTGGTTTTCTAATCTGCCACCAATAAAATTACTTGCTGAAAAAGAATAAACGCAACCCAGCTTATTAACTTTGAGTTCTTGTAGTTTACATTCACACAAAATATCAGCCAGAATTCTTTTGTTTTCACAAAAGGACTCTGCATAATTGATTTTTAATGAAAGAAATTTGATGTCTGTACGGCAAGTTCTGAATATTGATGCCGCTTGAGTTTCTTTAGCCAATGAATTGACCTCTCTGCTCACAGCTTTTAAAAACAATTTTCTTAGCACTGTGCACAATACAATAACAGTAGGTTCAAGGATCTGATGTTGACCTGTACACCACGGTAAATTGACTACAGAACTTTGCTTTCATGTTAATAGCATCCATAATTGTAACCTGCGAAAATTCAGAATTTGCGAACAGACAACACTTGCCACAACACTAGGTGCCATAGTCAAACGAAAATTGACAAGAAAATTTTTCTTTAATCACCATTGTTAAGCCGTTGTTCTATTAGGTCACCTGTTTGTACCAGGAAGACACATGGTCAACAACTCAGTAGTTGTACATGCTTGAAAAACTGTGCCGGTTTGGTGACTAGATAAAAATAATTGATTTCCGTTAAATGTAGCGACTCTGGGAGTTATAACAGAGGCGGGCAGTTAGAGCTGTCGCTTGCAATTTCAACCATGTGTCTACTTACTCAATGATTATCGTAACAAAACATGTGTGATTTTATGTTTTCATCATAGGTTGTAAGGCTCAGTGCACCTTGCAGTCCTATTTATGCTTCTACAATAGTTGATATCTTGCAAATCGCTGGTGACTTTTGGACCAGAGCCATTAAGGTTAGAGTGTGGAATAAAATAGTTATACTAACAGTCGGTAATAGGTAAACTGCAGAAAAAAACAAAACATTGATTTTATGTTTTCATCATAGGTTGTAAGGCTCAGTGCACCTTGCAGTCCTATTTATGCTTCTACAATAGTTGATATCTTGCAAATCGCTGGTGACTTTTGGACCAGAGCCATTAAGGTTAGAGTGTGGAATAAAATAGTTATACTAACAGTCGGTAATAGGTAAACTGCAGAAAAATCTGCAAATTTTACTCATAATCAAACCCATCGTTCGCCTCGCATCACATGTTGACTTACTTCGTGAGTCAAGATAACCCAGATGGGAGAGTCCAGATGAGACTTATAGAGAAGTTCGAATTTGGAGGATGTAATTCTACAGTCGCTTTTTGTAATAATCTCGATATTTGCAAGACCACGTTTAACTTTTGCCTGATCCCTAATTTTGTGGTGCTTTGCTTAATAGATCTACATAGTGAAACTATTTCGCCGTGAAATTCCAGGTTGCAAACAGTAATGTTTTGTTGGTCAAAATTCGTTTAACTGGATTTGATGGTTTTATTCAACTTGCGGGTTCAAATTTGCTTGTAATCTTAATCGGCTAAAGGTGGTTCTAAAATCACCACCGTGTCCATTTGACTTTCCGAAAATTTCGAATCACGCAATACAGTTGAAAAAGAGAATATCCCGATGACTCGCAGTGGTCATAAATTCTGCCTTGTGCATGCATATTAAGAAGCAGAAGTTTGGCAACGCTTAGTTTGATATGAACAACGATAGCTGCAGAAGGTCAGCTGAAGTGACGTTGTGTGCTTAGAATCTTGTGTATTCAGTGGTGGAGTGAGTCAATTAGACGCCACATGTACATGAATAAACCAAACCACCCTATTTACAATTCAAGAGATGACAACACATCATCGCATGGAACGGTGCAGCTGTAGATGTGATACGCGTTGAAATAAGTTTGAAATTAGAGAACCAAAATGTCGTGGCGTGGAAAACCGTGCGACGTATGGTGCCTCTGACTTGGGTAAAAGTAAAGCGTCGGAAATAAGACAAATATAAACGGCGAGTGAACCTATTTCCATTCATTCAATATTCATCGTAAACACTACATCGTATCTCTTAAAAGCGACATTCTTCGTTACTAATTATTTGTCAGATTATGAGCACAAATATAAAGGGAGGTAATGCCGTGCACTGTCTGTATAATTTCAGATAACCACGAAGGTGTATAGGAAGATACAAATTTACCGGATAAATGGACCGATCACATGCTATGCAAGCACTAACATCCTTGTTCAGTAGTTTTTCAGGGCACAATTTGTACTGATGAAACTGAGACTGTCATTGCGCATATAACCAAGACATACAACAGAATTCGTCAACTGCTCTAGTTATTGATCCTGTAGTTAACTTAAAAAATGGAATTCATCATTTGAAACTTGGTATGCTCCTAAACTTTAACAGTTTTTTTGCTTTAATTTAGCGGAGTCTGGCCTTAAGAATGCAGAGGAAATTATGTTTTGATTTGACAGCGCCTAGAGTGCCACAGACAGGAACCTTTTTAACATCAATTTCACACGCAGTACGTGGCATGAAAAACGAAATAGCTTACCGTCACTATCATAGTGGTGCCACACCTCCACAAACTGAGCAGCTGTGAATAGTTTCATTTTATTCAAATTGTGATCTTTGAACTGTGACAGATAATTTCCCGAATGTGGTTTAGTCGCCATTTGGTTTTTCCGCGAAGTGAGGAGAAAAATACGGTATTTCTATCAATGGATTTTTAAAAAAGTGAATGGGTCTACGATTCTTATTTAATGCTGTTTATCAGTTCGCAGCCTGAAATTCTGTTAACTATCTGCTCAACAAGTAACAAGCCAGATTTCATTGGGCAATCTAATCGTATGTTCTGACTGCTATCCCATTGGATGAGAGGCTAACACGAGGAAGTATAAGTGAGCAACACCAGAAGATTTTGAGTCAGTTTCATCAAACTACGATTCTTCTAACCGGAGATACATAGTTTACAACGCTTTTGCGCTGAGTTATCTTTAAAAATAACGCTCAGCCTTACAGACCTACTTTTGGTCTGCAAGTTTCTAGATAAAACAAAATATTCGGTGATATTGGTCTATCCAGCCGTCAATGAATGATCTATTATATGGGTGGTTTAGACCTGATAGCGCGACACATCGTGGGAGCATCTGGACAGGTGTGAATTATTCTACGTTTCTTAGTTCCCATAGTCGATCCATGAATTCCGCCGATTACTCAACCAAAAAATAACCTGCACGCTTCTCACATTTCAAGCTCAATCTTGTATCAAATTCCGTCATCCGAGTTCAATACCAAGAGATCAAGTAAAGTTACCAGGACTATCATCCACTACAAACGACAACTATTGTCGTAGTGCTACTTTGCGCCTGCTTACAAATCACTTCCCTATACATTATAGCAGACTATTTCGCCATCTTCCCTGGCCGAATAACTGCTTTAGTAGCCAAAATAATGAATATCTGGACAAGCCGACAACCAGATTGCACGCCAAAATGATGCAGTTGATCACTTTTGGTTTATTTTTAGACACAACCTGTAAACATATGTCCATGGAAGGAAGGATTCATTTTTTGGCTTTTGAGAACAGATCCACCGCAGAGGAGATAAAATGTCAGAAAATCAAATTGGACATGTGTTATTGTTACCATGTTGACGGCGGATGTGAGGAAGAACAATACTTGTCACCTTGCTGTAGAGTGGAAATACCTTAAGTGTTTGAGAATCACCAAATTTATCGTATTGCGAGCATAGGTGAAGATAGCTTGGCTTTTCTCGCCGATTCCATCGAATTCTAAAGAGTTATAAAGTTTAATTTAAAATAAAAACTTCTGTTTCCAGCATGGCTTGTAATGACAAATGGAAGCTTATCATCAAAAGACGGATTAATTCCCTCTTATCCTTTAAGCACATAACCAAGTATTTTGTGACTGTAATGGCTGCCTACGTTTATCCACGTGACAGAAATTGAGTTGAAAACGGTCAGCCTTTCGAAAGGTCTTCAGTAGCACTACAATCCGGTATATTGTGTAATATTGCATTACTATTACTCTTTTATTATATTATATTCCAATATTCCTTCCGAGGAGATCGTGATAAAGAGGGGCTGTGTCTGTTCTGAAGAGTTACCATTCTCCAGTTACTGAATGCTTAACAAAAGACTTACCCGTTTGCAAACCAAGACCAAATGCTACTTGAATAGGGGCTTTGGAGATTTTACAAAGCTCACACAATTTTACTCATCAATTTAAGATCTCCAGAAGTCGTCCACTGATTGTTCGGACGTATTATCACAACGGACGTTTATTAAACTATTACTGTCCAAGAGAGAGATGACCGAGATTTTTATGGGGCCTCGCTCAACAGGACGGTTCATGACATGTAAAAATATTTAAGCTTCGGGATATTTTTGTCTTCTACTGTGAGTTGTTCATTAAATCAAAGCAACGGTTGGACCGGTTTGTTTAAGACTCTGTTCGCGACGATCACATTTGGGCGGTTCTTCTGCTTCCTTGGGGCAATTAATTCGTTGGCCCACTTTTCTACCAGCGCAACTGCGATGTAACTGCATTGCCACATCTGACGAAAGTTGTTCAAGCTTATGCCGTGCAATTATTTTGTCCAAATTCTACACCAACGCAAACAGCCATCAAGTAACGAATTAGCCTAGAGCAAAAACATGAAAACATCAAGCTTTAGTAGAGCCGGTGAATTTTTTAACGTTCTCAATCCATTTGTTGCTATATGTTGCGCATGTGGCACACTTGACAACAGTCTTGCTCAGCCTAGTAATCTTCCTCACAGAAATAAGTGACCATACTCCCAAGTACAGTGAAGTTAAACTGGTTGAACAAGGGTTCGGCTGTTAGGAGAAAATAGGAGAAAAATCAACCTAATATAACAGTGGGGTTTGTGCACCTGAAGTGCTGATTTGAGGTTTCAGTATCTTTACATCCAAGCAACCATTCCGCAGCATACATTCTCAGTTTGTTTTAAATTGCATAGTTATGCCCGTGGCATTGCTTTGGCATTGAGTAACGTGAGGTGACTGCATAATAAAGTTGTATCACTCAATAGCACGATGATCTCTGTCTCAAACAAGAAGAAAATAGCTCTGTCATGCCATCAGTCTCGTTGCGGTATAATTTTACCCAGGGACGGAGGCTGATTGGTATTGCGAGTGAAAAGATTAACATTGATTTAACAGTGCTTCTTCAAGTAAGCGATCAGAGTGTCTGGAAGGAAGTGCCCCTTCCTGAGGGCGTTTGGAATTGAGGCACAATTCAGCTGATTGACTTGCCTAATGCAGGCCATCGTGACCATTCGGATTGAATGCACTGTTTTATTCTTGAGAAGTCACATGCCATCAGTCTCGTTGCGGTATAATTTTACCCAGGGACGGAGGCTGATTGGTATTGCGAGTGAAAAGATTAACATTGATTTAACAGTGCTTCTTCAAGTAAGCGATCAGAGTGTCTGGAAGGAAGTGCCCCTTCCTGAGGGCGTTTGGAATTGAGGCACAATTCAGCTGATTGACTTGCCTAATGCAGGCCATCGTGACCATTCGGATTGAAGTACCTCGAACTATAGCTAAATCTCGGTTGAGATAACCTTGCATTTCGGCGGCACGCTGAGTCGGCCACTTTGCGTGACATTTTTCGACGTGGACAAATGCAGTACGTTCAGTGCAGAAATGTGCCCAAGTCTTCATGCAAAACAGTAATCAAAGTAAAAAATGGCCATTTAGTATAACCTTTTCTTCTTTTCAAAGATTTGTACCTTTTGAAAGCACAAACAACGGCCTCTGTCGCTAAACGCTCCCTGTGGTCATATGCTGCAGAACTGCTGGTCTAAGATAGTCACAAAAAGACAAGCTTGTTAGCTTTCCTAGAACCAGCTTATGTTACTCATGATGCAGGGCCAAATAAGTAGCCAGAATCACTACAGGCCAGGTATGGACTAGGGTTCCTTTGGTTGTAATTATCTAAGTGGAAGGCCTTCTAAATTCTTTTTGGTAGTATCACATGAGTACTTTTTTAAAACTGTTCAAGGCAAACGTCAGTCAACCGGATGTTGAATGTAAATACTGTGAAATATGAATATCGATAACGGAACTATAAATGAAGCTTGAAGTTCCTGAAACAGCATGCATCATTACTCCCTGCACCACATGGTCATTATTTTCAACGCTCACAAAACGTGCATTCCTCCTGAACCTGCTGTTTTCCCATTTTCAATGATTTTTTTGTGTTCACAGTGTTCCCAATTTGTGTGAAAAGCAAAAAAAGCCGTAGCAACCAGGCAAATAACCGCGCGTCATTAAAGGATGCACACAACAGTAAGAGATGTCAACTATTCCCCTACAAGGCAAACACTTTACAGAATGAATGTCCTAAAAATCGCTTCAAAGACCAAAGCTCAAGCACATCTGGTGTTGAAATGAATTATACTATCCACGGATATTTACTCATCTCCCACCATCGTCCCATAGGGTGAGATAGCAACTTACATTCTGCTTTAGTCAGAAAGCTCAAACAAAACAACTCTTCGTAACACTAGTAAAAATGATAATTTCGTTGACACAGTGTGAACGCGGAATTTATGTCCGGGACATCTTAATATATGATAGCCTGCAGTACTCCGCCTAGTGTTTTTACGTGGATAAACTTTTTGTTCCACCACTATAATTACCAGTTACCAGATAGATGACTTCAGCTTCCGTCTCGAATAAAAGTCATCCATGCAAACAAATTTTGTTTTGCAAAATCACGTGGAGTCCAATTGAATCTTTTGCCTACGGTCTCTCATAGAAAACTTTAGCAACCTTATGAATAATATGTTACGTCTATAAAAATCATCTCTCCTCGACTGGACACTAATGGTGTGCTCTTCACCTGTGCAGAGACAGTTGTGTGAATTTTCTCAAAAGAGTAATTACAAACTCGGAGAAAAATACACTCGTGGATGCTTCACAACGTGTAAACCACCGGATAGGCCTCGCTGAATTAGTCATCATCTTCATCAAATTTTAATCAATCCGTTTGTAAATGCTCGGCGGCTAACGCTTAGTGCTGCTGAATCTGTCACCATTAGACTACCGAGTCCCAGTCCGCGCGTACAAACTGTAATTCAGCCGTCTGATGTGGACGCTTAAATACGCTGTTTTGGCCTGCTCATTAGTTTCCAACCGCATGAGTTTCCTGAACATTTCAATATTAAGTAAAAGCAGCCTTTTCAGTCGCCATCATCCAAAAGACGTCCAATGGCTAGTTGAGTCATGCAGAGTATCGACAGTGACCAGCACTTCACCACGCAGATTCTCACGCGCGAACAGGGTTCCTTTTCATTACACCCACATTGTCTACAGCCATGTAAAATTCAGGCTTTTCTATTTCTCCATTTTCCTCTTTCTCGGTAAAGAAAAAGTGGTTCAGTTGCTTAAATTACATACGAAACAAGGTTACTTTTACTTGCCTGCCATTTTGTTGCTCTTTTAGATGTGGAACTTTCGGAGTAAACAAGAAACTATTTCCCTGCTAGATTTGCAGATACGTTCCTAGAAATCTGACTGCTTTTGAATGTACCACAAACAGAGAACCCAGAATAAAGTCTTAATTTCTAAGTCGTAGAAATTTTAGTATCCCATCATGGTTTGCTAAAGCCAATGCAATTTTAC